TAGGAAAAAAAGTCACAGAAAAAAAAGCACAAGAAAAAAAAAACACAGGAAAAAAAAACACAGAAAAAAAGTCACAGGAAAAAAAGTCACAGGAAAAAAACAACACAGGAACATGTTTCGGGAACATGTTGTTAGGATTGTAGGAAAAAAAGTCACAGAAAAAAAAGCACAAGAAAAAAAAACAGAAAAAAAGTCACAGGAAAAAAAAGTCACAGGAAAAAAGTCACAGGAAAAAAAGTCACAGGAAAAAAAGGTCACAAATATATATTTGCATGATATTTGTTGATACTTTAATGTATTAAATATTTAGAGAGTGCAAATTAACTTAGGATTAATTAAATGTAATGTAATGTGTGTAGGCTTTATACGCATAGGAATTTTTATAATTCATCTAAAAAAAATTCTGACCTCGATCGATTATGGAAATTCGATTGATTACGGCGATGTGATTAGCTCGGGATTTCTGAGTAATGACCGAGAGATTAGCGAACGGCATGGTTGAATGGTAGAGCACGTATGTCCTTGCATGAAAGTCTCGTTCCAATGGTTCGAATCCCTAAGACGTCATCGAGTCCACAGAGATAAAGTAAACAAATCAATGATGTCTAAAAATAACCCGCGCATGCATTTTTAACTCGTTGCTAGGGTAGTAGCTCACCCTTCACGTGCACCTCGTTTTGCTTTGGTGGTCAGGGGAAAGTGCTAATTGACCCAGTTACATAATTAAACTGATGGGGGTAGTGAAATAATTGGTGCGAAAAAAGGGGGAGGGGCGGTGTCTTTGACGTCGTTTGTTTAAGGTTCTTTATATTTATGCTTGTAAGCGTTCGGCGTGTTGTTTTATTTGTTTTTAATTATTCAAAATTATGTCAATATGGCTACGACATCAGCTATGATAACATAACTTTTAAAAATATTTCTCAAGGGTGCGTGTTCGCGAGTTCATTGGCAAATCCGCACTAAAACACCAGGACAACTTACATAAATACATTTTTCAACAATTTTACCGTATTAAAGGAAAAAAAACTGTGTTAATCATTTACATACGGTTAAGAAAAAAAAATTGACAATATGATCACATTCCTGTAAAGATCTTGTTGATCTCCTGTAATAATGGCGTAAATGTCTTGAAAAGGTCCTATAATGATCATGTAAGATGATGTAAAGTTTAATAAAGGTCTAATAGTGTAGTGCAAAGTTAATGTAAATGTCCTTAAAAAATTTCCTGTAAAGCTCATGTAAAGATATTATAAAAAACATTTAAAGATGATGTAAAAAGTAAAGCAAAGTTTCCCTTTCAAACCTGACGGTCTATGGGGCAAGTGAAGTAGAGTTCACTTGTTTCTGTGACCTCGGCATATGAAGAGATAGTGTGGTCAGCACTATGCCCAGCAGCCTTTACTCTCCCTAACGTGAGTTAGATACCCATAAGAGCTGGGTGGACTCAGGGACGGTCTACTGACTTGAACCCAGATTCGGCCTCGAGACTTACGGGTTAGCAGTCCAGCTCTCTACCGCTAGACCACTCCGTCCAACAAAGATGATGTAAATGGCCAAAAATATAATATAAAAATGACCTCTTAAGATTATGTAAAGCTCCTGGAAAGGTCATGTAAATCTACTGTAAAAACTGTAAAAGTGTAGGTTATGTAAAGATTACGAAAAGGGTTAGTAAAGATAATGTACAAATGACCTCTAAAGGTCATGTAACGGTCCCGAAAAAGTCATGTAATGGTCCCGAAAAGGTCATGTAAACCTGCAGTAAAAGTCCAGTGAAAGTCCCTGATAATCTAAATAGACGGACTACACTCAGACACAGGAATGTTTCGCTGTTGTTTTCTATTGGATTTCACTAGTGCAGGTCTATTCATATTCTTCTAATACACTGTTGAGGCGAACACCACTTGTATAAATAACTTAACAACTCGCTTCTAGTCCAAATAAAGGCGGCATTCTATCTTGTGTTGATTGTGTCGTCAATTATTATGAAACCTAATATCTATACGGCATCTTCAGAAAAGTTGGAGTTGACAAGCTTCAAGCCACCCCCTCACCTTTACCACCCCCTCCCCCAACAATTCCCCCGGGGTCACCTACTCAGATAGCACTCCCTGTTTGTTCAGCCAAGGGCCTGTAGGCTAGCCTGCATATTTACCCTACTGAATGCGACGCTATTTGCAAACGTCTATGTATTCAAACCCCCACCCCCTCCCACACCTTTTTTTTTAAGTCTTCGCTTCAGTGACATACACATAGCACACATTTTGACACCAAACCTATATCTGGAATTCCCCAATACTCGCAGCGTAGTATTCCGTTCTGCGCGCCATCTTGCGGGCTTGCTCAATGGTTGTCGGGGGACTACTTTTTTTCTGCCCTCTCAGCCATTGTTTACTGTGTACGACCGGGCGTCCATAGCAACCGAGGTCGCCTTGGTCCGTGTGAACAATTCAGACGACAGGTACTTGGGCACGACCGTTGGAAATGTATACGCCGGGCTATTAATGTGGAGAATAAAAATTGAAATTACTATTACGATTTCTTTTGTAATCTGTTCTTTTCGTTATATAGCGGAGGTTGATGATATTTAGGCTATATAAACTGGTAGAGCAGAGACTATCAGAGGCGGATTTTACGGCTATGATGGGGGAGGGGCGGACCTCCTTTCCCCCTCAATAAAAAAAATTAAAAAAAAAAAACTTCTGTGTGAAAAAATTTGGGAAAATGTAGGCATTTTAAACGTTAACATACCCTATGCAAGTCTGTAATTTACATATTGCATACTAAATTTTTGGTTTAAATATTATTTTCATGCATATTTGCATAGAAATACGTGGTTCTCGGGACATTCATGAAAAATGTATGACCACAGACAAAATTATGGTGTACAGGTATATGTTTGAAATGCATACGAATACCGTAAACACTCTAAATGAAAATTAGAAAGTACTTTGTATTTTAATCCACGGTACACAGGATAAAAGATATTTACCAATATAGTGCACATATAAATTATGAGTTTTGAAATATTAGGGAACCTCCCATTATTAATCCCACCCCTCCCCTTTTCTACCTGTAGAAACTACAGGTAGGAAATAGTTGTGGTGACCTGTTATCGTCAGGTGAAAGGTTATGGCGGGAAAATGGGCTTCACCACTGCGGAGATGTCACCAGGCGTCATTCATGGCGGTTAAAGTTTTTTAAGAACCGGTTTTAACTGTTATTAATAATGTTCCGTTTCATGGTGCAGTTTGTATTAATGAGGGGGGGGGGGGGGGGGTTGTTGACCAAAATATTTGAACTGTGGATGGGATGGTCAGCGTTTTCTTTTTTTTTTTTTTTTTAGATATTTAACACCAGGGGTAGGGGTGGGAATCTTAAGAATGTTTAGAGTTTATTTTCTTCTTCTTCATTCTTTAATGATGGACATTATTTCCTTCAACACTTAAAGTATTACGTGTCAACTTGTTATGCGCCATATAGGCCGTTGACTCCGATTTCAACCTGCTTTATTTTTTTTTTTTATTTTTTTTTGCATTTGCTTCCATAGCCTTTGTCCATCAAAGAAAAAATTACAGGGCAGCAGTTGTTTGATTTTGGAGTTGTCTCTCCTAGATGAGTTGCTGTCCTTGGGTATCGAACCTCTTCTGCCCGGGCGTTCGAACTCTGGACTTTTAAATGTTTGAAGTAGGGCCCTTATAATCTTTCTATTTAAATATTATATATTTTCATCCCCGGGGAGGGGTTGGTGGGAGGGTGGTACTCCAAGAGGGGTGGGGGGAGGGTGGGGCACAGCTTCACTTCCATTTCGGGAGAGATGCTTGAAAGAAACTCTCCGCTCACTATGTGATGTAGTGCATGAGCTTGTTAGATTAACTTTAATGTTACGATTAGGTTTAGGGAGCAGGGTTGTAGTCAGGATTTGGATTAGGGTTAGGTCTATGATCGGGGTCGGGGTTATGGGGTCAGCTGGAAACCGATATGCTACCCGCTGAAGGTAACCATAGCATTACCCCAAATAGGAATCTCTCACACAAATATTTCACCGTTCAGCTTTTAAAAACAAATCGATACCAGTTATGGCCCAATCGATTTTCACTTTTCAAACTATAAATAGCATTTAAATACAGACATAAAAATATTTAAACTGCTTTTAGACTCTAACCATATGTCCATGCTATAAACATAATACTGTTACCTCTATAAAATATGCAGGAAAACCAATAACATTTCATTACCGCTGAAAGTAATTAAAATAATAATAAAAAATACCGTTATCGATTATTTAAATCAGTCATATCAAGCGAATCGATCATTCATGTGCATGTCAGGTCTTAAAGAACCTACAGAATATATAAAAACATATGCACTTATTTTTTTTTTTCAACAGAGCACATATTCGTGCCGTGTGCGTGGGGCTTAATTATGGTGCCGTTTTGCCGTCTGTTTGTGTAGGCAAACACGGTTGAATGGACGCGAGTTGTCGGCAACTAGGAGCTTCGTTCAAATAATTTTTTTTTTTAATTCGAGAAATGGTGTGGGTGGTTTTCTTTGCTAACCGGAATGCCTGCATAAATTAGTGATGTCTGTTTATGTGGGTACACTATTATGAATCGTGATCGCTTCAGAGTGAAGAGCGGCTTCAAGCGACTGGCTTGGTTTTATATCTAGTCGAAACTAGGTTGTTTTAGATCTGAAATAATACAGTTGAAATGGTAGCAGGGATGTGCTTATTGGTGGTAGTTTGGGTGTTGGATAGGTAGCCTTTTGACATTAGTTTAGGTAGCGATTAATTAGAGTATTTAAGATAGGTGTAGTAGATTTCATCTGTTTCTGTGATCTCGACGTATCGAGACGTCCCGCGTTTTTGACTCGCTAGGATTGAAATCGGGTACCCAATAGGGCTGGATGCGCTCAATGACGTCAGAATTGAAATCAGCTACCCAATAGGGCTGTATGCACTCAAGGACGTCAGAATTGAAATCGGGTACCTAATAGAGATGGATGCACTCAAGGACGTCAGAATTGAAATCGGGTACCCAATCGGGCTGGATGCGCTCAATGACGTCAGAATTGAAATCAGCTACCCAATAGGGCTGTATGCACTCAAGGACGTCAGAATTGAAATCGGGTACCTAATAGAGATGGATGCACTCAAGGACGTCAGAATTGAAATCGGGTACCTAATAGAGATGGATGCACTCAAGGACGTCAGAATTGAAATCGGGTACCTAATAGAGATGGATGCACTCAAGGACGTCAGAATTGAAATCGGGTACCTAATAGAGATGGATGCACTCAAGGACGTCAGAATTGAAATCGGGTACCCAATCGGGCTGGATGCGCTCAATGACGTCAGAATTGAAATCAGCTACCCAATCGGGCTGGATGCGCTCAATGACGTCAGAATTGAAATCGGGTACCTAATAGAGATGGATGCACTCAAGGACGTCAGAATTGAAATCGGGTACCTAATAGAGATGGATGCACTCAAGGACGTCAGAATTGAAATCGGGTACCCAATCGGGCTGGATGCGCTCAATGACGTCAGAATTGAAATCAGCTACCCAATAGGGCTGTATGCACTCAAGGACGTCAGAATTGAAATCGGGTACCTAATAGAGATGGATGCACTCAAGGACGTCAGAATTGAAATCGGGTACCTAATAGAGATGGATGCACTCAAGGACGTCAGAATTGAAATCGGGTACCCAATCGGGCTGGATGCGCTCAATGACGTCAGAATTGAAATCAGCTACCCAATAGGGCTGTATGCACTCAAGGACGTCAGAATTGAAATCGGGTACCCAATCGGGCTGGATGCGCTCAATGACGTCAGAATTGAAATCAGCTACCCAATCGGGCTGGATGCGCTCAATGACGTCAGAATTGAAATCAGCTACCCAATAGGGCTGTATGCACTCAAGGACGTCAGAATTGAAATCGTGTACCTAATAGAGATGGATGCACTCAAGGACGTCAGAATTGAAATCGGGTACCCAATCGGGCTGGATGCGCTCAAGGACGTCAGAATTGAAATCGGGTACCCAATCGGGCTGGATGCGCTCAAGGACGTCAGAATTGAAATCGGGTACCCCCAGGGATGCCGTTAGGGAATCAAAGTTAAGATTTTGGTTAACGACCATATGCTCTAACCATTCCACCATCTGGGTGGGGGGGGGGGCAGAAATAGCCTCATACCCCTGGGGTAGGGGTCAGATGTTGCTGACAATTGTCCACACTAGAATCGGACTCTGTTATGGCGATTATTTAAGTGTAAAAAGAAAAAGTTTACTCTTCTTTTTAATTTTAATTAATTTTGGAATCAGGAGATTACCATCTTGTGACGTTATTTTCAGGGGAGGAACTATCTTTATGTGACGTGGTGTAAAGATGAGGTGTGTGTATGTGTGTGTGTGGGGGGGGGGGTGAACCCTGCAAAATTCATGTGATAAACTGTCAGAAATCGTTAGGCCAACGTTTGCCGTACATGTGACGTAAGGCTAGTTTAGTTATGATATGTGGTTTAGCCAAAGGTGAAAACTTGTGCTGTATAGAACCTTAGGCTATTTATGTTATGACAGTCTTTCAGTTAGCTAAAGATCAAAACTTGTGCTAGAGGAGACACTAGAGGGTTAGAGTAAATAAAAACCCAGCAACTCCAATTTTCCAGTAAAAACCTATATCTTCATGACATAAGGCGCCAACTATCTCCACTATAAATTGCTATATTGTAAGACATTACGCACCCACCCCCCCCCCCCCCCCCAATACCAGTACAATGTCCTCGTAACCCCCTCCCTGCAATTCTCAGAAACTACCTGGTTCTAAAAATATCCCTAGACACGCACCGTCCACATCCTATTGGCTTACGACATATTTGGAAGCTCCGTATCTCCGTCTGCAAGCTTTTAATTAATGACTTATTATTTTGATATCGTACTTATGTAATAACGGATATATTTTTTTCAAGTGAGAAGATTTTTGTTATATTTTTGTTTCGAATAAAATATAAACATTACCTTTATAAAAACAAGGTTTAAACCATTCATAATATAAAACACTAATGAATTGTTTTGTTTTTGTTTTCTAAATATTATACCTTCTTTGTAAGTACGACTTGTGTTGTATAGGGCTTACATTTTTTAAAAGCGGAAATAATTGCCAATGACTTTTAATCCACATTAGACTAAGATTAACTTTAAGATATCATCCGAAATAAAGCGACGTTTTTGGTGAAGAGAGCGTAAGAAAAAAGATGTGGAAAAATACAATTTGTTTTGCGGAAGGATGGGGGTGTCGGGGGAGGGGGTGGAGTATGAACAGGAAGTGCAAGAGAGGTTACGTGGTGTTTTACTGTAGAGTTTTTGTGTTTTCGTCTAGCTATGCGGGGTCGTATATTTCAGCACCGGCTGGGCATCAGGATGATAGAGATTTGATATCAATGCTAACTGATGCCGCTGTTTGTATGGGTTTAATGGGGCGGAGAGAGAGAGAGGTAATCTTTTGATGTTGTAGACAGGTGCTTTAGAGAGGGGGTGGGGTGGGGGTGTTGGTAGTTGTGAGGTTGTGGGTGTCTAAAGGCAGGTCATAGTGCAGGTGCAGTCATTGGGTCATAGGTGTGTGTCTATGTCTACCTTTTCTGATTTCTCTGTGTCTGTTGTGCCAATGTTCATATGTTCCCTGCGCTATGTTCCTATGTTCCATATGCCATGTTCCCAGTACCATGTTCCTATGTTCCCTGCACCATGTTCCCAGTGCCATGTTCCCTGTGTAATGTTCCTAGTGCCATGTTCCCTGTGTAATATTCCCAGTGCCATGTTCCCTGTATAATGTTCCTAGTGCCATGTTCCCTGTGTAATATTCCCAGTGCCATGTTCCCTGTGTAATGTTCCTAGTGCCATGTTCCCTGTGTAATATTCCCAGTGCCATGTTCCCTGTGTAATGTTCCTAAAGCCATGTTCCCTGTGCCATGTTCCTAGTGCCATGTTCCCTGTGTAATGTTCCCAGTGCCATGTTCCCTGTGTCATGTTCCCTATGTAATGTTCCCTGTGCCATGTTCCATATATAATGTTCCCTGTGCTATGTTCCCTGTTTCCATATTCCCCGTGTCAATATTCATCCAATCCATGCTCTCGTGTTCTTTTTGTTGTATTCAGCACTATGAGGAAGGTGCTAAAAGGGTTAACACTTTACACCTCTATCACTTAGGATAAGCAAGACATCAAACACCACGTATACATTTTGTCACTTGATATAACCTATAACTAACCACACATACAACTTAACCAGCGGGCTAGTGGTTAAATAAACAAATGTAGGTCATCACGGCCTTCCGCTTTAACCCAAATGCACTAACCTAAATGAGTGCAGAGAGGTCATTGGATAAAGCTGCGTCTTTTTGCCGTGCATCAAGTTAGAACTAAGCGCAATGATAACATTGAGCCTAATCTTTACTAAAAAAACTATGAAAGAAATGGCAACATTGATCCAGGTGCATTGATAATATAAAAATATAAATTTATTTTTCAGAGTAAATTTATAACAACGAATTTTAATATTTGTTTTGATATTATAAAAAATAGAGTTTTTCGCTTTCGTTTTTCTTTGATGATAAAATCCTTGGTGCAATTAGTGACAGTCTAGTAATTTTTACAAGTGATTGATTTATTCTTAATGAAGATATCTAAATTTATTTAAGGTAATTCTGCTAGTAAAAAGTTAAAGTAAATGTTACTTTTTCGGAACCGGTTGTAGAATTAGAGCTCATCTATTTCAGTGACTTTGGCATCTAAATAAAAATTGTGGTTAGTTGTATTCACAGCCGTCTTTACTGATGCTTACTTCAGTCAGGTACCCGATAGATTCTATTAAGAGGTCTGAACTCAAGACTAACTGGTTAGTAGACAAGTTTACGTGGAAGAAAGTGGTGAAGGTGACCGAAGCCCATAACCAGTAGCGGATTAATGGAGGAACGGGTTGGGGGGGGGGGGGGGGGGGGAATTGAGAGGACTGCATTCAGGGGCCCCAAATTTTTAGGGGTTCCTCAAATTTACTGCACAATTGTTGGATTTCACTACATAAACTAACGTTTTAATGTTTGCATCACAAACTTCAATTTCGTTTTACAAAATATTTAACGCGCATTTATATATATATATATATATATATATATATATATATATATATATATATATATATACACTGTTTGGTTGTTCTCAATATCAAAATATGTATTTTATTTTTAAATTTAAAAAGAAACAATTAAAATAACAGGACTTTAATGCAGGTAAAAAAGGGTAAATAACATTAATTTTCTCCAACTTGATAGTAAAAATCAAAGCCTAGGTCGCTTTTGAAATCTTTGGTTTATTTTCTAATTTTATACTATGTAGAAAAAAAAACCTGCAATAAATTTCTAATCAAACAGAATGTGCTTTTATAAAAAAAATGTTTTAACCCAATTCGGGATGGATTAAAATAGCAAGAGTTTGTTCTAGAACTTATTGACTTTCAGACTTTTCTCTACCTGGAGATTCTCTTTTATTCTATTTTCAATAAGGTAACTTCAACAAATGTTTGTTCTTAAGGTGGGTTTAAGTTCGAATCCATTTCAGACCAACCTCTACTTCACCACACGATCAAGAGAAAGCAAGAAAAGTAAACATTTTATTTTAACAACTGTAAACAAATTAACACCAAACCAAAATATCATTCGAGAGCAAGGTCCTTAAGACAAGCCCGACCCGCCTTTGATGACGTAAAAGGTAGAGGGGTGGGGTGGGGGAACCGTGACCGTCTGTATCGGGTTGTGTGTACGACGGTAATACTTGACCTTTGTACTTGACCCCAAAGCGAGACGGCACTTGAGGTAATGACGTAGATGAAGGAGAATGGAATGTATAGGGGTATGTGTATGTGTGTGGGGGGGGGGGGGGGGGTAGTAAGTCTTACCTGATCGATACGTCTATATTTGAAACTAACGTTGGTGAATAAGAGATTATATTAGCTTAGTTATAGAGACTTATTTAACACTGAAGAAACAGTGAAGTTATAATGAAACAATAGTGAAATAATATTGAAGTAACTATACAGTAATAACTGAAGTAGCATTGCAGTAATACTGAAGTAAGAGTGAAGTAAATTTAAAGTACTACTGCCTTAATACAGTAGTTTGCAAGTAAGCTAAGTAACACGGTGGACGGCAGGCCAGAAGTAACGGTAACAAGGCTGTAGGTCATGTGACGTACTAGAAAGGTCCCAACATTTGGGGCAGGTTAATATAGGTCTTGTCTAGGGGTGGGGCTGTATAGGTCTTTCTAGGGGTGAGCCTGTATAGGTCTTTCAGTCTAGGGGTGGGTCTGTATAGGTCTTTCAGTCTAGGGGTGAGCCTGTATAGGTCTTTCAGTCTAGGGGTGGGACTGTATGTTTCATGCAGGGGTAAGACTGTGTGTGCCTTTCTTTCCGGGGGTGGTGCTGTATAGGTCCTTCTGTCTTGGGGTAGCACAGTACAGGTCCCAACCAGGGTTCCAACTGATAATTTTCCCTCCATAGTAGGTACTGTATTGATCCTTCCTTACAGAGTGTGTTTAGATCATTTACTCTGGTGGTGTCTGGTACCATGGCTTACCTCAATAGGAGTGTGTAGGTCATTCACTCTGGTACAGTGGCTTACCTCAATCAGAGTGTGTGTAGGTAATTTACTCTTGTACCGTTACCTTAATCAGAGAGTATGTAGGTAATTCACTCTGGTACCGTGGCTTACCTCACTCAAAACAGGATGTTGGTCATACCATGGAACAGCCCATTATTTCGTGTTTTATTGTCACTAGTGCAGATGTGACATATGTTGACATCTGCCTAATGACATGACAACAGTTACATCGGCATGTCCGGGTCAAGGAGTGATGTGTTTACACTTCTTTTTATAACTAGAGTGGGGTTAATGTTTATTCATTGCTTATGAAACAAGGATTGTCCGTCTTGTTTTTCTTTAACAAGCGGAAAATGTATAAACTATTAACAGCAAAGATATCTGAATATCTCACTTTTACTTCTGGAAATTAGAACTGTAAAACCTACGACATATGTTAAATGAGCAGTAGTTTAGCAC